CCCCCCGGGCCACCTTCCCCCCCCAAAAAGAGAATTAGTGCGATCCGTAGTGCCAAAAAATTAGGCATGCTATGTCCGCGTGCAAGAGGGTTCGTACAGCGAGAGGGATAACATAAAACAGTCCCCCCTTTAGAGAGGCAATACTGTCCGGGAATGATACTACCGTAGTCCCGACCACGTGATGACCTACCACACAGTGGGGGGGTGTCGCGGAAGGTGAGAGATCACCCGGAGGGTGTTTCTTGTATATTTGCTTTGCCTCTTTGCCTTTTGGCTGTGTGCAAGTGGGTCGATATGACACGGGGGTGGGGGCAGCCGCCGCTCAACCTACATCCACGTGGGCGGCCTTGTACGCAAGAGGTTCTGAACAGGGGGAGGATAAAAAATTGAATTCAATTTTTCTTGTTTCTCTTTCTTTTTTCCTTTTTGTTCTTTTTGTTCGCATTTGCGCTCTGATACTCTTGTGACAACATATATGAAAAGCAAAACTATTTATTTTTTTGAATGTGCTCTTTCCTGTGTTCTTTGCTCTACTCGCTCCTGTCCTCTTTTCCAGTGCTCTTTCCTCTATATTTCTTTACTCCTTGTCTTCTCGTCTTGCCTTGTCTTGCCTTGTCTTGTCTTACCTTGTCTTGTCTTGCCTTGTCTTGTGTGTCCTATGCGCCCCTCTGCGATCAGTTCGTTCGCCTCCTCAGTGCTCCCCAATGGAGAGTTCACCTCCCGCTCCACATTGCCAATTCCCTCGCTCACAGCGAAAAGTGAGGGTGGGATAAGAGTGAGGGTAGGACAAGACCTCTGTAGTCCGGCAATATTTTCTGGCAATATTTTCTCAGTAATTACCCGTTTCGAAAGATTGTTTTCTTTCTTTTTTGTTTTCCTTCCAAACCTTCCCTCCCTTCCAAGTGTGCTTTCATCAAACCCTTCCCTCCCTTGCAAGTGTGCTTTCATCAAACCCTTCCCTCCCTTCCAAATGTGCTTTTAACGGACGAATGTGTGGGTATTTTCTTCCCAGGCACATGTCCGTTTGGCAGGAAATATCCACGCCAGCCCAACACCAGTGTGAGTGATTTCCTTGTCGACCTCATTAATACACTGGGGGAGCTGAGAATGGTCGACTGATTTCAGCTCATCGATTGATTGATTGATTGATTGATTGATTGATTGATCGATTGATTGATTGATTGATTGATCGATTGATTGATCGATTGATTGATTGGTTCACTGATCGAATCATATTGATTGATTCATGGATTTTTTCATTGCTTGATGGAATGGTTCATTGTTTGATTGACTTCATCTCCTTGATTCATGAATGGATGGATGGACGGAATGGCGATGAGCGGACATTATTCGGTTAAGTGGATCCGGGACGGAAAGAGGCAATGCGTGACTCTGTCGAGATTCACTACTAACTAAGACCGACTTTCTAGATTCAAACAACGAATCATTGATTGAACGAGCCATCGATTTGTATCTGAACAAAGTTTATTTTCGGCCGATATATACTATGGACTGTAGACTGAAAGCCTCTGCTGTCTTGACTAATCTTCCTCCTCTAAACATCATCGAGTGAGTTCCAAGGCCATCTGATCAAATACGTTATTCTTTGATTGATTGATTGATTGATTTCAACTCGTTTCGATTAGTTGATTAGTTCGTTGATTGGTTGATTGATTGATTGATTTCAGCTCGTTTCGATTAGTTGATTAATTGATTGATAATTTGATTAACTGATTGATAATTTGATTAACTGATTGATATTTGATGAATTGATTGATTGGTTGGTTGGTTGATGATCGATTGATTGATGGATCGAGAGAGCAAATGCGACTTCCTTGAGGGTAATACCACAACTTACAGTAATTGCTTGATTTTTCTGAACGTTTGATTGAGGAACCAAATGATGACTGACTGGAAGATTGTAAGGTCGATGGTTGATGGGCTGCTTCTTCGATTCTAGTGGAATTGATTCGTTTCCGAATTTATCGATCAGCCAGAGGATCGAAGATCGAATCATTCGCTTGTTTATCCGACATCAGTTTATCAACGGCCCAGCGGGCCAACGGGTCAGTGAATCTGGCAGACGATCGATCGACCATCGGATCGATCAATACAAGATAAACGAACGTGATTCGACGGTGATAATTCATTGGACGGTTGGCCCGTTGTTCATTTATATTTTCTGAATTGATGCATTGATTCACCCATTGATTCATTCATTGATTCCTCGGACTGATTGCTTCAATTGATTCATCTCAACTGATTGATTGGAATGATTGATGATGGGTTGATCAATCGATCGATTATCTCATTGATTCCCTCGACTGATTGATTGGTTCAATTGATTCATCGATTGATTGATAGGTCGATTCATCGATCGCTTATCTGATCGCTTATCTGATTGATTGATTGATTGATTGATTCCGTCAATTTCTGCACCGATGAATCGATTGCTTGATTGGCAGATTTAACTCGTTGGACGATTCAATGGATCAATGACTTGATTAATTAGATTGCTTGATTGGCCGATTGGCCGATAGATCAATTTCGACAAGAGGAGACATTTTCGTTCATCCACCCGAACCGACATTTCAATTCTCATGACATGACTCCGTTAAGTCCACCACACCTGCTATCCATCCACGCACCGACATTTGACCGAAAGGGCATATGCGCATGCATTTGCATTTACATTACAGTCAGCGGAATTACAAAATAAACCACGCACACTCACATATTCGAATGAATCCTCGTCGCTGAGAGAGTCGAGCTTCACGAAGGAACATTTTTTTTTTCCCTTTTTCTCTCTCACTTTCCTTGCAAATCTATTCTACTCTACTCCTCCCGCGCACGCGGCCTTCAAAAAAAAAAAATACTGTTTTTTTTTTTTTTTTTGAGTCTGACCTGCAATGCATTGAATCCCTCCTTCTCCTCGGTTTTCACCTGCACCACCTGGTTATCGTCGAGCCAAATCACTGTCAGCGGAATACGGACCCCCCACTCATCCCACGCTGCTGTCATTCCACACTTGATGCCGATGGCGCCGACGCGCTTGGACTCCGGTTGCCACGGTCTCGGTCCGACTTCCCGCCGCCGATACGTCAAAGCCGCGAGAACTTGCGGCGGGAGCCCCCCGTGAGTGCGCGGGATGCGCGGCACTATGTCCTCCAGCTCGTCCATCGTAGCGGCCGCCGCCGCTTGACTGGCGAACCATCGTCGCGTTTGACAACCACGTGTCAGCAGACCATGAACCCTCTCCGCCGCCGAGCACACCGGTCGGCGTCCCCTTTGTACACGAGACCGGTCGGTCGCCTCCTTCTCCGCCGACCAGGTAGCAGCTGACTGCGGAGCACCATCATCATCATAGGCTCCCTTCAACCCGCACTCCTGCCCGCGGGAAGAGGCGCCCGCAAGGGGAGTAGTAGCAGCGGGCAAGAGTCCCGACCCCGATGCCACTGCACGAGTGGTGGCAGATGGGAGACTGTCAACGGGCGGGAAAGAAGGCCGCAGGGTTTTGCCGACCGGGATGCCGAAACGAGTCCCGATTCCGATGCCAACGCACGAGTGATGGCCTCCACAGAGAACGTAGCCGCCGCCAACACGTGTCAAAAAATCCGACAATGCTGCTCTTCGCGCCGACGCCGATAAGAGTAACGACGGAGAGGAGGAAGAGGAGGAGGCGGAGGAGGAGAATGGGCGGGATGGCGGGTGTTGGAGGAGATAGCGGGATCTGAACAGACCAATCACCGCTCTCCTCGCGCCACCCGCCCACCGTGACATGGTGGCCTTGCGGCCGCCAGCCACACCCCTCGAGTATAAGATTAGAGTAATAGCGAACGACTTTATATCGGCTCTAATTACGTGTCAAAGTCATGAAACCCTCATTCCGTCTGAAGTCATCAAGAAGAATAACGGCTATGCTCGTTTGCTGGTCAGCAACATTTCCTTTCCTCCATCCTAATCGACCCCGCTTACTGTGTGTGCCCTAGATACTTATGGTAGTAGTAGCACATGAGTCTTCTGGCTCGTCTTGCTCTATGCATCGATTGCCGGGCCAAAGCGTTCCGTCCGGTTCTAATCAGCAGAACACGATAGTTAATTATGATACGTGTGATACCCCAGCGTGGACCTATCAGGTAGTAGTAGGAGGGGGGGTTGATTGATCGGTATCGCAATATTCGTTCGGAGTGCTTGTAGATAAATTGGGGCGGAATGAATGTAGCCCGCAATTGAGTTCGTATGCATTGCCTTCGGTGGAAGCAAAAGAGTGCTTACCGCGGTGCGGCCCGCAGCTACCATTCCCCTTGCATTTCGTGCGCTGCCTCTGCTCAGCCACTCCCGCGGCCATCCCCTGCCGCCCGGGGCCATGTCCCACTTGTCGAGGTTTCGGGCCAAGTCCCACTACCTAGCAGCGGTGAGTTTCCACAACGCCTGAATCTGGACCTGTTCGTGGAGAGGTGCGGTTGAGGAAACTCAACTCGATTTCTGCACACCTCCACAAACACGTTCAGATTCGCGCGTTGAGGCACAAACACGTCCAGATTCGGGCGTTGAGGAAACTACGTGCTGCTAGTGGGGCTTGGCCATGAGTTCTGGTCTCGAGTATACATGGCTCCCTGCCATCCGATCCGATCTGAAAATCTCACGGCCACAGCGGGACCATGGGGCTGATCCCACACTACAATTTTTTTGGGTTTGGAATTGGAACTTTAGGGACGGTAAGGTGGTGGGTGGGTGTTCAGAATAGCTGTAGCTGAACTCGTAGGAACCCAGGGGGACGGACGCGATGACGGGCGCAGGAGTGCTCCACGGTGCGCTATTGGTTCGGGAGAACCGACGCGGCTGACACCGAGGCAGGCACGCGGTCTGACCATCTGGGGAATTTGCTGAAGCCTTCCTGGCTATGGCCGGGTCAAACACCTACGCAGAATGGTGCGGGGAATGGAAGCGAAGCAGCGGCCGGGAGCAGAACGGAAGCTACATACAAGTTGTTTAATATGGAACATGTGGATGAGACGTCAGTGATGTGTACACTGTTCTCGCTTGTCATCGCCTCCGATATCGGGAATGCCGAGAATATCTCCATCCTCTTCTTAAGAGATACCAGTTCAAGTTAGTAAAATCTCGGCTCATCTCTGGTGGCCAAGCAACCTCAAGAGTAGAGCATGCTTGCTGAAGGAAGGGTAAGTGCTGGGCACTAACATCTCCTACTTGGGCTACGTCCACTGCCTTTTGGGCCTGAGCCGACCTAAGTTATTCTCATGAAAATTGGACTATAGTTGGACACGTTCACATCCCTTTCAGGAGTTTAGAAGCTAGGGTCGAACTCGATCCTTTTTTCCCAATAAGTCAACATAATTTCATCTTATGCATAAAATGACTACTATTCGGGCCAAAAGCCTACCAAAACTCTTCTAGACTCTGGTTTTAGGAAGTGGGCCCGGTGTTCTAGTTAAACCACCAGTACCTAGCAAGGCCCGTGGCTCAGCCTACCGGTATCCCGAACCTTGCCGAGCCTTGAGCTACCGGTAGGTACACATGAAAACAAAAAACAAAAAAACAAAAAAAAAAAAAAATGACAATTCTTCTGCCCAAAAAAAAAAAGAAATTGAAAAACAAGGAAGAGAC